GAATAAAGTAATCAATGCAAATTGGCCATAACAAAGGAATAAGTTCACACCACCCGGTGACATTCGAAAATAAATGCACAGTTGAAATAAATAGAGAATTTAAATATAGGATCAACATGCTCAAAGGATTGTGTTTAGGATCTGTGTGACTTGCCTTGCAATAATCGGTGTTCAATTAATCTTCTTGAATACTTCCGGCGCACTCGCGAACCTTCGCAACGACGGAAACGACAAACTAACACGCAAAACGAAGAAAAAGACTAATAAAAACCAAATAAACAGTACATATAAAGTAAACAAACATGTAGATCATAATTTTAGATGAATTATGAGACTTGAACGGCCTCATTCTGACTTCAAATGAATTTATTATGAATTTTACAAGATTAAATCTAATTAAAGCCCATTTAAAAAGAATTAAATAAATTTAATTCAATTTATGGACAATTTTAATATGTAGATCTTTATTTTATACAACTTTTGCAACTTGAACCACATTAAACTGAGCTAAGATGAATTAGTTATGAATTTTTAAAGATTAAATCGGATTAAAACACTTATATTGATTTTAATTGAATTAAGACGCAATAATGAATTATTTTTGAAAAGGAAAAGAAGGATTATTGCGTCAGCGGCTAGGGTTTGCGGTGGACCGGGTGCACGGCAGCGGTTCACGGGAACGGACGGCCGAGATCGAACGGTCCACGACCGGCTCACAGAGAACGACGACGATGACGTCAGCGACGACGTCAGCACCGGCGGCGACTCGGGCGGCTCGGACGGCGCAAGCTCGCCGGCGAACGACGGCGCGAGGACGCGAACAGAGGACACCAACGGATAGAGGGCGACGCGGCGAACTCACCGGTGACCAAAGAAGCGGCGGAGGAACAACGGACAGCGCCGGCGACGAGGAAGAAGCGGCGGCGGAGATCGGGTCGACGGCGGCGACGGTGCTCCGGCGGTCTTCGGCGGCGGCGAAGGGGCGGACGAGGACGGCGACGACTTGGCGATCCCGATGGTGGCGACGGCGACCGACGACGGCGGCTGCAACGGCGGCGCGGCGCGGCTGAACCGACGGCAACGACGGTGGCGACTAGGGCTACGCGGAGGCGGCGCTAGACACGACGGCGGGCTAAGGCAAAGGTGGCGGCGGGTAGAGGAGATATCGGGGGTCCTTATATAGGTGCAAGGAGGCGGCGGCGAAGGCCCACGGCGGCCGGCGACGAGAAGGAAAGATTGGGGAAAAACGAATCCGAATCAAACTCGAATCCGCCTATTTCCAAAGGAAATTGACCGGAGTTTCTATAAGAGAAAAGGAAGAGGAGATCGAGAAGATCATTTCCCCTCTATTGATTTCACCGGATCGGGAAAGACGCGGCCGAATTTGGAAGGAGACGGCGGCGGCTTGCGCTAGGGTTTCGGGCGGCGGCGGCGCGAGGAGGACGACGACCCCGACAAGTGGGACCCACCTGTTAGCGGCTGAGAGAGAGAGGAGAGCGGCGGCTCGGCGGACTGGGCCGACTTGGCTGACTGGGCCGGGAAGGGAGAGAGAAAGAGAGGTTTTGGGCCGACTTTCGGCCCAAAGCCAAAAGGAGGATTTTAAAACCTTTTTCTATTTAAATTATTCATGAAATGCAATTCCATTTATTAAAAATACTTCCTTAGCTCAAATAAATCCCAGAAAAATCTAGGAATTATAGAATTAAGCAAAGTATTTAATGAAATTTTATCTGGCCCCATTTTATATTGAGATTTAACAAATTAAAATTAGATCTTCTCTTCTAGGCTTTTAAAATCATTTCTAATAATTCCTTTTAAACAACAATTTATAATTTAAGGATTTTAAACAAGAAAAGCACTTAACAATTATAATTAGATCATTATTGATCAAATAATTACTGAACTGTTCTTTGTATCATTTAGGAATTGAGCTCTGAAAAATCCGAGAAAATTTCAGAGAGTATACTTAATCATGGAGAATTTAATAAAAATTAAATCCATCCATGCCTTAGATTTAGGAAATTTTATTTCCCACATTTAACTTCACTTGTAAATTAAAGAACATTTAATATAAATTCTATTAATAATTTATTAAATAATTTATAAATCCTGAAACAAAAATCAGGATGTGACAATGTCACAGCTCCTTTCCGAGGTACCGTGGTGGTATTGAGGCACATGGTGACATGATGTGGGGCTGTGTCTTGTGGGTACAGTGGTACACCTCTGATCAGAGTAAAACTATTCGAATAGCCGTGCCCGCGGTTATGGGCGGGTCTAACAATGTCTTTCGTGATTAGTCTCACCCTTCTCATCATAATAAAATGTGCTTTAATTGGTAATAATTTGATTAGCTCCTGGTTTGGAATGGTATATTCCTGGTTTGGAGATAGAACTGTGCAGCCGGGATGGTTGTTCAGAATGGTTGGGCCTATACAACAGGGTATGTTGTATAGCGTTGGATTAATATTGTCTATTACTTAACTGTTTTATTAAATTCTGAAATGTTTATTAAATGCTGTTTATGCAAATGAAACCCTACTATGCCATCCTTTGTTATCCTGTGAACTTGCATATTTGCTGCGTGGCTTGCTGAGTATGTCATATACTCACCTTGCAATCATTCATCAGAGGAAGAGTTCTACAATGATGTTGATGGTGTGGAGGATTAGGTGTAGCCCTGGTCAAGCTGCCTGTGGAGTGGAGTCGTCTGCGCCGTTTATCTTATTTTTCTGCTGCTTAGATCTCTATTGATTGAGAGGAACTATCTACCTCTGTAATGACATTTTATTCGCTTATTTAATTAGAGTAATAATGGTACTCTATTATCAATTTGTTATTGTGTGCCTCGGCTGATTCCTGGACGAGGGTTCACGCACATGTAAGCGTTTGGAATTTTGGATAGAAATTCCGGGCGTGACAGTTCGTCCGAACACTGGTGATCGCCGTTGATCCCAGGTTTTGGCATGGACGCTCCAGATCACTCCCTGATGACGGTTGCGGGGTAGTTCGGACATTTCCCCTTCTCACAACCGTCATAACTGCCCTATAAATGGACCTCACTCCCTCACTACACACACTTCCAAGCTTGAGCTGAATTATAAGAGGCTCTATTATACTATATTGTGTAATAGAATAGGAAGAGAGTAGAGTAGAAGAAGTCGGAAGAATTCCGGAGTTGTCGGTAATCTTCTCTCAGTTCTTTTATTCTGTTTATACTCTGATTTCAGTATAATATTCTTCCTGAGTAATTCAGATTTATCTTGTGAGAATTATCTCTTGGTTAGTTCCTAAATAGTATACGGGATTATTGTTCACTATAATCAACTAAAATATAGTGATTGCTTTGGTGAGTTATAAACAGCTAAAATATAGTGATTGAAAGTTTGAAACAGCTAAAGTTCACCCTTTTTGTTGCAGATATGCAATATTCCTTGGGTGAGCACCAAATCAATTTGAAAATTTCTAAGAAATTTATGTATTTCTGTTGACTAAGTAGATGACGACTACGGTATTTGCAGAGTATGAGGATTGTTGGTACCGGGGTATGCGCGAGATTGAGGTAGAAAAGATGGGAGATAGGGATTTTTATATAGGTTCGGGCCCCTTATTTGTAAGGTAATGGCTCTACTCCTGTTGGCCGAAGCCGGTGTTCCTCTTATTCATCAGGATCACACAAGTACAATTTAGGATAACCTATCTAGTCATCGTCGACTTGGCGGTATGGAACACCACGCGTAGTCGATGATGGGGTAGTCTTCCTCCTGGAATATGAACTTGGCGAGATTAGAGATAACGCTAGATCCCTCTTGTCGGCCTCTGTAGTATCAGATTGGGTATGTCTAGGCTTATCTTCTGATGTCGATGTTTGGCAGTGTGTATTGGTGTCTATTATGACTGACTGTGTCCCCTCTCCTCCTAGGGGGTCTTGTATTTATATCCACAGATATCTCTTTGTCTAAGTAGAACGAGAGAGACAAGTATGGATATGATATGAGTAGTCCTTGTAGTTTTCATATAGAACTCTGCCTCTCCTTCCTTATCCGGAATACCTTCTGTATATGAGACATGACTCCGCATAAAACTTAGTATATGGTGCCGCCCCCCCACCCCCGGAGCCTAACCAAAGACTATTGGGTATGCCTTATCTATAACACTAACAATTTCTTAATTTAATCCGTCTATGAGTAAATTATTTTCATGCACTCTACGGTAAGTGCAACAAAATTTAAGAAATAGGATAGATGCTAAAATATAATGTAACTGCTGACCTATTTCTATTCCCTTCATTTTATATTATAAAACGCTTTGACTTTATTTCTATCAAACTTCTATAAATTTAGACAAGTTTATAGAGAAATAGTGTACTATCTCCATTTCAATATAAAGTATTTTGCCTATGTATCACCCTTTTTGTATTTTGAGCGGAGGTATAACATCAAATTAGTTCCATTAAATATAACATTAAATATAATTAAATGGTGTGTTTGTTTGGTGTTAACATAACATTAAATATAATTTGTACCAGCGGCATCCGGCCGAGGGTCATTGTTTTTTTCGTGTTTGGTTATTGATGTGCTATTGGGATTGGTTATATAACACTTGCTTTCACAAAACTTATGCCAAGCTAAAACATATTCCCTCTGTTTCACAATGTAAGACTTTCTAGCATTGCCCATATTCATTTAGATGTTAATGAATCTAGATATATGTATATGTTTAGATTCATTACATCTATATTTATGTGGGCAATGCTAGAAAGTCTTACATTGTGAAACGGATGAAGTATTTTAATATTGATGAGAAATATATATTGTAATTCCTACACTTTGGTGTTGCTTAGGTTCACAAGAAAAGAGGAAATTGTCCTTTATTTTTCAGTTAGGATTTGGACAAGCTATATGTTCTGAAGAAATTTGTATTACGAGCAAACGGATACACCAAACATGCTGAACCGCCAAGCAAATTATTCCAGTCAGGCAATTGGACTTCTATGAATCTTATTGTATCAAATGCACATGCTCAGAAATATTGGCAAAGCTAACGAATTCTCCGGCGAGGTATGTGTTCTCCGATAGATGTGCCTCGTACACCTCCAGCACCTTCTTCAACTTCTCCACAGTCTCATCCACGATCTTCTGGTTGGTTGGGATGCCATGCAAGGCCGGGTTGATGATGCACTGGAACATGATTGGCGATAGTGCTGGATTAAATTGGTGCGTCTCCACCTCGGTCCAGAGATCCACCATGGCTGCCTCCTTGAGGTTACCTTCACGGAGTAGATCGACCTCGCTCGTCTTGTAATTGCGGAGGATGTACTTTCCGATTGCGCGGGACTCTGAAACAGATGATGCAATGAGATTTCTTTGTTTTTAACCATGTTTTAAATGTGATAGTTTATTTTATAGTAAAAATAGTTACGAAAATAGTTTGCACGCCTCGTGGTGGAATCTCTCCTTTCTTGAAATGCATATAAGTAGTAATAAAATTTTTTGATTGAGCCGAAGAAATCTCTTTTGGCTGTTGGATATGCCAGTCATTTGTTTGGCTCTGTGTTAGCAATCATGATGACAGAAACATTTCCGGTCCCTTCGAATTACAGGATTGAGAAAACGTAGGAATATAAAAAACGTAGGATTTTGATAGGAATAATGCAAGTGTAAAACAGAGGATTGCAAAACGCAGGAATGAACGTTTGATTGAACCGCAGGAAAAATGCAGGAATTGGATGAGAGAGATAGACTCAAAGGAAAGTTACCAAGAGGTTGAAGCTCTTGCTAAATTTCCTCCAAAATCTCTATAGAATTGTCCATTCCATAGGAATTTCAAAGGATTGGATTGGATTCAATAACAAAGGGCTTCATAGGAAATTTTTATACAGAATTGAAATCCTCCAAAATTCCTATTATTTTCCTCCAAATCAAAGGGACCCGAAGACCATGAATTAATCATGAACAATAGTAGCCACCGACAGCTCCCGACTCATTAAATTTAGAGGTAAAAAACAGAGTAACCAGAAAGTATTAAAATGGTACAGGTGCATTTCTCGGGTAGATAACATATATAATCGTCGATAGTGAGACATCTATTATCTATTATGATTTCTTTAATCTTAAGATATACCGACTCAATCTTCAAAGGAGCTAATAAAGATAGGGATGTACGTGTGTGCATTTATTGGGTAAGTGTGCATGGGTTTATATGAGCGTATGCTTGTGTATTGTGTTCATAAAAAAGTTGATATAATTTTTTCTGAGTTATATTTAATTTTAATCCTAGTGTCCATAATATTTTACACATGGATGTATATTATTTAGTGAGATTAAACATCAGAGGTTGCCATTAACCTCTGAATTTTTAAGAAATCGTAAGCCTCCGTCTCTTTAACAAATGAAACAATATATGAAATGTAATGTTTATCCCTTGTTCGTATGCCTATTCAATGTAATCAGAAAAAAGGCTGATAAGTTTTCATTTGAGAGTTGAGAGCAAGAATTAATCGAAGCCAAAATCAAGCATATATACTAACAAAAGAGATACAGATCCCCGTCCTGGAAAGCTGGGATTTGCCCAAACGGCTGCAAGAAGAGAAAGAAAGCACCATTCATGGCGTCGCCAAATTCAGGAATTCAGGAGCAGAGCAGAGGCGGCGCGCTGGTACACGTACGTACGTTGCGCTGGAGGTGTTCGTGGCTCTTGTGTTCCTTGGCCTTGAAGTCGACGTTGTGCGGCCGTCTGAGGTCCCAAAATCTAGGGGCCGTATACACATACGGTATATATACTACGTACGGTATAAATTTAGTCCACGTGCCATAGATCTATATTAAGTTATATAGCTGAATAGCCCAATACAGAAAATAAATTTTAGTTCATCGTTAGGCCTGTTTTAGCGAAGCCGAAGCGATCTTCATTTGACTCCCATCGCTTTGCCTTGATCACATCACGCCACTCGCGTCGTGCCGCCTCGATCACGTCATGCCGCTCGCTGCTTCTGCGCTCTCGGTGACTTCTCGGCGTCTCGCAAACGAAAACAACAAGTTGGCAAATCGCGACTCGCCAATAGCCACGCTCGTGTCGATCGTCCGCCGGTCGACTTCTCTGCTCATTACTGCTATTTATTTTTCTTTGAAGTTTTAAAATGTTATATATAGATAATTTTGTCACATCGAATATTAAATGGTATGTGTTTATAAGACTATATAAATATATAAATTAGTTTATCTATACATGTAGGGGACTCCATGTAAGTTTTTGCCCTCGGCCCTAAAACCCCAGGACCGGTCCTGTTCACCGGCGCCATATTCTCCGCGCGCGATCCGAGTTCATGGCGGCCTCGGCGTGTGCAAACAGAGGATCCTTTGGAGCTAGCTGGTGCCTGGTGGTAGCTTTAGCGTGCGATTTCTGGAGAGAAATAGATGGATTGGTTGGACTAGTTGGTGTGGTGTGTGGACAGTGTGGTGTACTGTTCTTGTGGGACAAAAGAAGCAGAAAGAAGAGCAAAAATGTTATCGCTTGATACTTTGATGACTCGTCTAGGGTGAGGTGAGTGTCGGTAATGTACAGTGCCTTCTACAAACAATATTATCCTTTTGGATTTGGAGGATTCTGAAGGTCAAGGTGCTGGTGCTTGAGACGTCAGCTCCATCCGAACTGGGATAAAGGCCCTTCAAACTTTCAACTTTTCCATTACATCGAACTTCTACACACGTAAACTTCTAACTTTTCCATCACATCATTCCAATTTCTTCAAACTTCCAATTTTAGCGTGGAACTAAACACATTCTCAAGGGTATATCCCCTTGTTTTTGCATGTCACTTAAAAAATCATCAAAAAATTTAAAAAAGATTTATATGATAGATCAATATGTGATATGTCACTTTATAGATATGCATATTCAAATTCAACTTATACAAGTAGAAACGAAAATAATAAATCTGACTATGAAAAGAACGAGTAATTCACAATCAATTTTTTAATTGTATAAGTCAAATTTTAACTTGCATGTTTACGAAAAGATATTTCATATATATATTGATCTATCTTGATAAATTTTTTAAAATTTTTTTGATAAAATTTTAAATACCATGTATAAAACGATAGGATATCCTTCGAGGGAAAAATACACTTCCATCATCATTCGCATTCGCGCTGGGGAGCCGGTTGCGCATGTTACATGTTGTAAGAAAGGACATTCAACCAACCACACAACATAATGGTGGGATGCTGTGGAACAGGATCATCTGACACACAGTGATATTATGTGTGAGGATGTGGTTGCTTTTCTCTATTGCGATTAGCCTGTTAGGTGTAAGATTTGTAGGGACTCGAATAGATGGGATGCCTCATGGGCCCAACGAGCTGCTAGGCGTGAGGGTGAAACTATAAAGCGAACTAGGTGAAACCCCGCGCGTTGCGATGGACACATTAGAAAAGATTAAATATGGATGTAAGTATAAAATGTCTAGCAGATGATGTGGGAATGTATGCTATACTATAACTATTTTTATTTCCAGATGATTGTTCAGCAGTAGCTGCTGGTTCAGAGGAAATGGATGGTTCAGCAGATTGCCGCTCTGAAACTGATGGATGTGCATAGTTTCGAAAACAGTATAAGCTGGACGTTCCATTTTTTTTAAGAGACTAAAACAGTACTCAGTGCATAGGTCCCCTTTATGCCCGAAAACCACAATGTATGCTCAAATATAATTCTGACAAAACTCATGTGAAATTCACATATACTGAACTGACTCATTAAAGCATCCAATAGTTCTCATTTCTTTTTTTTTTTACCAGAGAACAGTGGGGGGGGGGGAAGCCCCCACGGTTGAATTTCATTTATAAAAGAGAAAACTGTACCAAATTGACATTACAGATCATCAATCCATGATTGCAAAATAGGTCTATCAGCTAACTTAAGCCTAGATAAATGTAGGCTTAACTCTTCTCTTAAATTCAGCTTCCAACACGGGACAGATGTTCGAAAGCTATTAAAGATGATATCATTTCTTTGCTTCCAAAGCAACCATGCGGCCACCAAAAAAATTTCCATGAAACAGGCATTACTGAATCCATTTATCTGAGAATGAATCATCTGATGAAATTCCAAAGAGGTATCCCACCAAAGTCCAATAGAGTTCCAACATGCAGTAGCAAAAGGGCATTGGAAGAACATATGCTCTCTTGTCTCAGGAGTTCCCAAGGAACAGAGATCACAGGAAAGAGGGACATTGGGGGGCTTACTGTGCTTTCTCTCTAGAAGATCCCTGGTATTTAATCTGTCCAAGAAAAGGAGCCATGCAAACACCTTTATCTTCATATAGACTTTACTGGTCTATATCCAAGACAAACACAAAGGCGGTTGGATTGACCAGAAAGAAATTTTATAAAACTTATGAGAAGAGTAAACATTAGAGTCCCAGATGTATGTCCAAATGTCGGCCGAAGAGTTTAAACTTATCTAAGCAATGTCCTCCAGATATAGTTTGTATTCATCATAGGCTTGAACTGAAAGAGGTAAATAGAATTGATCATCCACTGCCCTCTGTAAATGTTGTTGGACAAAGTCATTCTTGTGCCTGACAAAAGAGAAGAGAGTAGGATACACCTGAGCAAAGACCTTTCCATTACACAAGTCATACCAGAAGCTCACTGAAGATCCACTGTTAATTGTTGGCCTTGCAAAACCTCTGAATAGAACTTCAAACTGAACAATGTCCTTCCACCAAAATGAGCCACAAACACTGGCATTTTGAGGCAATATCCTAGAGTAATAGGAATTCCAAATCAGTTTAACCCAAGGTATCTGCATATGCTGGTTGAAAAACTTTCCTAACTGCTTGAGGAGAAGGGCCCTATTTTGCACTCACAAATCTATTACACCCAAACCACCTTTCTTCTTGGGCCTACAAACCTTCCCCCAGGCAGCCAATGATTTTTTGGTGGAAGTTAAATCCTTTCCCCTCCACCGAAAATGCCTTCTTACTCTATCAATATTCTCTATCACTGCCACCGGAAGCTGAAGGGAGCACATATAGTAAGTGGGCATTGCTAACAGAACTGAATTTACAAGAGTTAGCTTATCTCCATAAGAGAGGAAGGAAGAAGTGGCCACAAGTCTTCTTTCAATCCGATCAGTGAGAGGAGAAAAATCCACTACCTTGTGCTTAGAACAACTGAGAGGGAGCCCTAGATAGGTGAAAGGCAGAGAACCCAGGACACAACCAAAAGTCTTTGCCAGACAATCAGCCTTCTCTTCATCCAAATTTAGGGGTATCAGACATGACTTTGCATAATTCACTTTCAATCCTGTGGAAAGAGTCACTGTATTCAATAAAGCT